CTAGGAGTTAGGTTCTGTTGCCAACATTCATCATCAGCATCATCAGATAAGCTCAAAGGACAAATAAAAAGTCACATCAATCATTTCTTATAATACTTATAATACCTTAAAAACAGTGACAGTTGTCTTTAAAGTCAGGTGATTTTGCTGCTCAGTCAAACTGTTCCAGCGTTGCAATATCTTCTGAACCAGGCAGATATAGACACACTGTAGTTGTCATCTTGTAATATGGGAGTGTCGTTTAGGGCTAAATCATTTTAGGGAAAACTGTGATGGCTGTTATTTTTTTTTATTTTTTTTTCTTTTTCCTTCTTCTATACAGAAGAACTCTAAACTCTGGGCCTTTTTTGGCCAAGAAGACCAGCACATCCATTTTTTCAGACTCAGGCTGGAATGCTGAGGGTTGTATTCCAGACTTTCAGTTCTGAAGCTCTGCGTTATTAAGTTAAATTTCCCCAATTAAAACTTGAATGTTGATTAGTGTAGGATAGAATTAATATTGCACCTCTTGCGATTTGAAAATTTCATACTTTCAAATTGCAGATTTGATGTAAAAATTATTCATTGTTCAGCCCTAATGTCAATGGTGTGTTCTGCTCAGACATGAAGCACAAAATTAGTGGAAGACTAGGCTAGAATGCACCAGTCTAATTCTTATCTAACAGGATTGGCACTGTTTTTAAGGTAAATGGATACTTAACCAAGAAATGATTCATGCGACTAATTTTGTTGCCCGAGGAGCTTGTTTGTGTGTGAGCGTGTGTGTGAGTTGCGTGTATTTGTTTGTTTTTGCGTTTGCATGTGTCTGAATTCTGTATTAATGTATGTGCAAAGCAGTCTGTTTCTAAAAGAATGTACGTTTGTGATTTATGTTTCTGGTGGTGCATGAGCGTCTGTATATATGATGGTGTTCGAGATGGGCTTGTGTGAGCAGGCCACTCTTATGCACTCACTCACACACATACATAGACAGCCTTACCTATACATATATGCTATTTTTTTCACTGGCTGTTGACAGAATAGAGTCACATTGGTGTACAACAGCAGCTGTCTCGACCGTTTCCATGGCCTACATGCACTAATAGAGAGAGAATATTTTAGAAATCACTTCCTAGCTGTACTTCTCAAATATGAAAGACTTTGAGTGGCTGTTTTTCCCCTGAGTATCAGTCCCCCAAGTCATTTGTAATTGTCAGTGTATTTCTTTTTATGAAAGACTTAAGAATTAGAAACGGTTTAAATATCAATGTGACGGTAGAACCTAGAGGCCACGTATGCGTGTGTCTCATCTCTGTGGGCCGTTTGGTTTTGGTATATTTGGTCCTGTGCTGAGTCACTGTTGAGAATTTAAATGCCTCCTTTTTCTGCTTTCAAGGAATATCGAGTGACCAAGTTACTTTGTAAAAGTTGAGAGAGACCATTTTAACAGTCAGATAGTTATTTTAATATGTGGCTGGTCTACTTACTTTAAAAAGGGAGATTAGGTTGTTTTGGTGATTTTATTTTTTTTTTAATTTCTTCTTTCTTCCATCAAAGTCGTGCTTAAGACTCCTGTCCTCGTAAACCGAATTATCACTGCAGTTCATCAGCTGGCCCCTAGGTGGTGGTATAACCCAATTTTTTATTTTTGCAGAGGTTCCAGATTCAATTGTAATGCCTGTTTTGAATTGATTGTTCATCCATATGAATGATTTAGCTTGATGTTCACAAATATGCCCTCAGATGAAGCTGATGTGGTTGGTACCATCACGTGGCAGAAGATTTGAAACCTCTGAAGGAGACAGAAAGAGCATTTTAAGGGTAATCGGTGCCATTTAGAAATCTTTATACACCAATGCAATGCCAATATTCATGGTTTCGGCTGAAATGTATTCATAATAACCCATGCAATAAAAAACACAGCACAATTATCAAAAACAAAAGCGCCATGTTTGTCTTGCCTGTGTAAAACTATTGGACGTTATTTAAAACTACTGTCTTGGACCTTTTGTTAAGTTGCATTTTGAGTGTCACTTCATTTCTGCCGTTAAAATTAACAAAATGAAAGAGGTGTAACTGAGACCCCCCCCCAACCGACACCAACACCATCAAGACAGAGGACACATTTGGAACTGCCACTTAATTCAGGAAAATCAAACCCTCCTGATGTTCTCATTGCTTGGGAAAACATCATTTGTCTTCCACAGACATGCTCTACTGGCTCTTTTTATATATTGTAGATATTGTAAATGCACCAAGACATCATCTTTCATCTTGCCACAGTAAACACATGGTTTTCCAGCTCTCATTTGAAGCTCTTCAGGACTATATATATTTTTCCTTATAATGGAAAAACATTTTTTTTTTTTATGTAAACATTGTTACAGTTTTAGTTTTAGCCCCCCAGTCCATACATGGAAGCTAAACTCCAAAAACATCCCGTTTTGAATGAATTGTTTTTCTGATGTCACAAAGAAATGCATTTACTTATATTCGCCTTTTCAGCCTATAGCAGTTTAGTCCTTTCATGCTGAAGTTATAAGGAGTGTTTCAGCCTGGACTGATTTTTGAATGAGCGATAATAAATGGAAGCCAATCAGGACAGAGGTCATTTGCATATATCAAGAACATGCAGTGACAAATACAGGCTGTGTAATTCTAAGGGATAAAGAAAGATTGGGAAATCGTTGTGAAAAAATTAATTGACTGTTTTTGGTACTACATGACCTCACACAAAGTTCATGGGTGGACCTGAGGCAAGAACAAATAAATAAACAAAAACAAGAAAAATGTAGGAAGTGGGCTCTGTAATGAGTGGGATGGTGAAGACAAAATGATTCATATCATTTTGGGCCAGTGTACGTTGGTATGTAGATAAGCCACACACCTGCATGTGAGTCTGACTATGTTTCAAACAAAAACAGTGCCAGCATTTTTTTGGCATTACTAAAAAGAAACTCCTTTGCCATGTTTTTGAGATATTACTGAATACAGGTTTACTCAGTTCTCCAAAGGGAAAGGGGTCTATTTGATTTTTTTGAGAAACATTGTCATGAAAGTGGCATAAGTGTGAATATCTTTTCAGATTTTCAGAACAAGTGCAGAACAGCAAACACAATACAGCCACAATCTGTAGTTACTAATGCTGTGCTATAACTGATTAGTACAAAAACTGATGGACTTTAATATGACATCGCTTTCTGATAAAGTATTTATTATTAAGCTTAGGCTCACAAATTTGAAATTTGAAAAATAAAAAAAAATAAAAAAAAAATTTAGATTGGACCTCTAAATGTGCTGAGAACATTGAGATCAATGTGGCCCTGTTTAGCAGGCCAAAAAGCTGCACGTGCCTAAACTTCAGTTAACACAAACCTGTATGTCAGTGAATTATTATTTGACTAGCAAATATACTTGCAGATACATCAAAAACATTAAAACCGTGTGGAGAAATGAAGGGAATTCAGAGATCTACAGTTCTCCAGGAAAGCATGTTTTCATCAGATTTTTTTAACTGATATAGTGCTTGATTTACAATGCTTTAGAGTTTTGAAGTAATGTTCACAGGTTGACAGTCTAAAACCATAATCAAGAAAAGTATAATTTAATAAAATAATGACTAATCTAGAAGTAAAAGCAGTGTTTTAAAAATATCAAGTCCAAAACTTTACTGTAGGACTGCAGTGAAACTTCTTAACATCTGCTAGCGTAGGAACTGAAGTTGCTCATTTTGGATCCTTTTGCTGTAAAATAAAATGCTAAAGCTCAAAAGCAGAAGATGTGAGCACCAGCAAATCAGTCCAGGAGCTGAACCAACTGAATTGGGTGAAATTAAACCTAACAAATGAAAAAGAGACTAAATATGCTTATGACTAAACAGGGTTGGGATGTAACAGAATACAGGCATTGGGAACATATTCAGAATACAGAAATGAAGTATCTGTACTCGGTCCAAAAGACAGTATTCAGAATAGTTTTTTACATTTTTAGGAGAGGTCTTTTAGAATACTTACCCACTACATTTAAAAAATATATATATACCATCTTTAAAAAAAACCCAAAAAAAAACACAATGTTTATTAACTACCTTAAACATCAGTCCACAGCATGTAAAGATTTACTCTAAAGAAGAACTCAAAAAACAGCTTCTTTACAAACACTGAAGTTCCTGCTAAAGCCTGAGTAGACTGATAAACCAGTATGACGATTAGTTATGAATCTCAGTCTTACTGAGCTCTGCTAAAGCCTGAGTAGACTGATACACCAATGTGATGATCAGTTATTAATCTCAGTGGTTCTGAGCTCTGCTAGAGCCTGAGTGGACTGATAAACCAATGTAATGATCAGGTATTAACTCCTGCATTTGTCTTGTGGCAAATTACATACTTTAACTGAAAATCACTTCATAGTCAAATTTCCAAGATTTTGTTATTGGGATATGGTGAGATTTTTGCATATTTTGTGAGATGGTAGTGGGACTGAAGCAGGTGATGAGAGCCAAAGTAATGTTGAGAATGTTGTACTGTAGTGTTATGAAGTTCATTTCTCATGAAACATTAACAGAAGAATTCCACAACGAAAACTACCATCCAGTAACAGCAAGAAACAGCGTGAGTCAAATAAAAACCTACGACTAAAACACGAGTAAAAATTTGATTCCTTTTTGCGCAAATATCATTGAGTAGAAAGAAAAGTTGTTCAATTGATGGAACAATACAAATCCATCTCTACAGCGCGTAAACAGGACTGTTAGTCTGTTTCTTCACAGAATATCAGCTCAGCTGAACACAGTTAACAGGTCATTCGCTCATTACATCTGACAAATGTCAATATAACAATCATATACATCTTCAAATGTATCAGGACAATATAATTTGATATATTACACAAAATATACGTGTATAAACGCCTCCAGTCTGCTGTAGTAAGACTACACAGGGTTGAGAGTTTGTTCTGACGTGAACGCGCCTCCAGCGTACGGGGTCGAGCGCGCGCGCGGATGCTGCACGGTCACATTCAGTTCAGCGCAGTTCAGCTGCCTGTTGGTTTGCGCGCGCTGAGCTCGTCGAGCGGAACTGTGAGTGTGTGAAGAGGAGCTAGTGTGAGAGCAGGAGGTGGAAAAAAAACATGTTTCTGTGAGGAACCGAACCGGACTGGAAGAGTTTGAGTGAAGGAGAGACTGAAGAAATGTGAAGAAGAAGAAGGAGCTGTTTTACTCACTCCGTCTACGGCTCGAGCCTTCAGGTGAGCTCACTCACTCACTCATACGAAGCTGCAGTTCAGCCGCCAGCTTCTTCTAATTTTCCCGTTCAGAGTGTAACTGCTGCACCGTTTAAGGTGGAACGGGAACATTAGAACCACGAGCTTCCGAATAAACTGCTGATTTCAGCCTCGACTCGCTCACATTCTCAGACTATCACAGAGAGAGAGAGAGAGAATGTAGTCCGAGTTTGGAGCCGGTCGAGTTAAAGTAGGTTAATTTTCCTACGTTTGTTAGAAAAGGTTTTTGTTAGTTTTTAGCGAACACTACAGCTTCCTCACCACAACAGTGATGAAACCGAGCGGTTCCCTTTTTTCCCCTGCCTACTTCTTCAGCCTAAACTTGGCCAACTGTCCTCTTCAGTCGAAGCAGCGGCGTAACATGATTAAAGGGCCCATATCATACATGTTTTTGCACTCTCCCCACTCTTGACGTCCACTTATAACGTTCGTGAATATTTATGATGACATTAAATATTTATAATGACATTTTCCAGTCTGTCTCTGTCTTTTAGAATTAAACCGACTGTTTTTGTTAGAGTTCCATGAAGAGTAATATATGCAAATGACTGGCCGATGATTGGCTGCTCTGTATTGTGCCACATTTAAAAAGTCCGAGTCCGAGCTCAAACACTCTTCACACCTGCAGCATGACTAGGTGTAACTGAACTGCTGTGGGCTGAAGAGGTGGATATTTGTAAATTTATGTTGGTTTTTGTGATGGGCTGGGGTTGCAGCTTGGTTTTTTATATGTGGACTGGGTAGTGAACAGTACATTTGAAACAATTTTTACACACCACATTTAATAAACACTTAATAAATGAATAAAAAATAAGTGACGGAAGTTCAGTTTTCTATGAACCTGGTCAACTGTGGTCAGTTAAGAGTTTTTTTTTTTTTAACACAGACTAAAATGTTAAATGTCAGAAGTGATTGGTAGAATCACTTTTTTTCATTTGCTAATAGCTATGACTGTCTTATCTTGTTACCTGCTGACATGTTGTTCATCAGGGGTGTAACGATACCCGTTTTGATGTTAGATAAGATTTTAGATTTAGAGAATCGATTTGATTTTTGATGTTCTGATATTTTTATGCATTGAAATATGTCTCTACACACATGTTTATCTTAAAACAAAAGATGGCAAAATAGTGATTTATAGAACTGCTACTCAGCCGTAAACAGTGTAAGAGTATATAGGATGCACTATGCATGCAGGTTATGGGAAAAACATATGATACTTCAAAATATTTTCACAATTAACAATATTCATTACAATATTTTGTTTTACTGAGGTTTTATAAGTTGGAACAGACAATAAAAAAGTAGTGTTGCTATCAAAAACCATACAGTTATTTTCATTTAATGATTCACATTCTGCTTTGCACTGAATTCAGTTAAACAAGAGTAATTCTGCTCTCTGTCTAATAAAACGTGCACTTGTACAGGACTTTAAGCAATGACTATTCACAATATGCTCAAAAAAGCATATTGTGATGTAATGTGACAATTTATCACAATAACTATAGATATGTAATATTGCCTACGTCTAAAATGCACCCAGATGCTTCATTTTGATCGTTGACAGTGGTCTCTTCTGTAGACGGCAGCTTAGAGACACTCTGAAGAGACTGTGGAGTGCATCAGCAATAAAGGTGTATATGCACTATACTGTTTTAAATCTTTATTTTTTTGATACTGTATTGAAATTATCACACACTTCCTTTAAACCCAGCAATAGAAAAACTTTTAAAATGACAAAAGTTCCTTTCGATGAGTAACTTTTTCTGGCCTACAGCAGGCAGTAAAGGCTTTTACCCGTACAAATAGGTCTCTGCATTTCCATGAGGCACTCTTAGAATCACACTTGTTTGGTTATTCATTAGCTGCATCACTTGGAAAAGCTCTGAGTATTGTAGCAGTTTCTTGTGCGTCACTGAGCCAAGGCAAGCTATGATATCACTGATGTCAATAACTGTGGTCTGTCTTCTGTCTAAACTAATATTTCCCTTGTTAGCTTCAGCACAGGAAATGGGTATTTTAGTGAGAATGCAGGCTAGGGGAAATCTTAGAGCAGGGTTATCTTATCTTCAGCTGTGTGCTCCGAGCAAACTGAGGCTCAAAGATTTCTTCTCAGACACATAACATGAAAGCACGAGGGGCTGGAGAGCCTGTGCACAGCAGACTCTCAACTGGCTTCTCGAACTTTTATATATCCTCAACTGAAGATCTAGGAGTCTTAATCCATTTACTCATCAAATGCGAAAATATATGAACTATTTTGAAAGAATGCAAACGGTAAAAGTGGCTTGACGTGATAGATTGCTGTCTATGTAGGTTAGTGTTCTAGATTTACATTTTATTAGGGATACAAAAAAAATGAAGAAAAGCTAATATCTAATATTGCTTTTCTTCAAGATATTAATCCCAATCCAGAACTATACCCTGGCTGAGTACATATGTCTGTTTTCCATTGCGCAACGTCACACATTGGTATTTGTGAAAGTAGACGTGGTTCTTTGAAGGTTGTGTAGTGGTCGTGAGTACCCATGCAACATTAGCGTGAAGGAGCTAGCTAGAAGTGGTTCAGCAGGAAATATAACTCAAACAATTTTCCACTCACTCCAGATGTAGTTGCTCAGCCAAGACATGTTTGGTATCCAAATTTTGCTCCTTTAGTTTAGCGCTGCAGGTACGAGGCTAACGCTGGTAACAAATACCAGAAGTCAATTGTCACCAAAATCTAAATCTGCATAACTCCTTTCAAACTGCATCCAGCTCTTCGTTAAGGCTGCACAGACTTGTCGATGTGGTTTAGAACAGGGCTGAAACTAATTATCGGCATTATTGATAACATCAATGATGAAAAATTGTTTTGTCATTAATTATTTGTCATGATGACCTTTGTGCTCCCCATTTACATCATCTGACAGATGGAGAAGACTACAGTACAGCGTTGTTCATGAATCAAAAAGTCAAAAAATATTGGAGTGTGTAATTTCAACATCGTCTAAAAAGGTGATTTCCTGTGAAATTGAGCTCACCTTTAACAGCGGCCTTACTGTCATGCGTTAGGAAACAGAGCAAGTGTGGCCAATTCTGGTCCTGGAGAGTTCAGATCGAGCTGACCTTCTCTAATTTGCAGATACCCCTGCAAGCCTTCATAACCTGGATCAGCTGTTAGATTAGGTTTGGAGCTAAACTGTGCAGGGTGGTAGACCTCAAAGAGCAGGAATTGGCACCCCTGATCTATTGAAACACATTTACAGTAGAAAATGCTGCCCACAAGGATACAAATATTATGTCCTAACTTGATCTGTCATGCAAATCCAGCAAGACAAAGTGGAAGATTACTCAGAAACAAAGTGCAAGTTCAGATACAAATTTTGAGGAAGATTGGTTAGCTGTCTTCGTATAACTCCATGCCACTGTGTTCTGATTTTGGATGACTATTGATGCAGTAGTGGGTGTGGAGAAGCTGGAGTGAAAGTGAAATCGTTAGTGGGGTGTCTGTCCTGTGATGAATCCATCAGCTTTGGCAGAACGGGTGAATACATCTTACTGGGACACATGCACCAAAAAAATCTCTAGTGCAATGCATGCAAGTAGAAAACAGGGAGGAAGTCATATGTGACAGTGATATTAATGTAAAGAAATTATATTCATTAATTGTGTGTAATGTCATTAAAACCATGTGAAGAATTGCTTTAGTGCTATTACATTTTAAGGCCAGTTTTCTTCATAACTTTCCAAGATAAGGACTCTCTATAGATGTCTGAAGTTGAACAGAGCATCTTGTTTCATAAAGTGTTTGTTTTTCATTTAGAAGGGAAAGCCTGTTGTCTTTTTGAGGCCTGAAGGGGTCAAAGAGTCTCACCCTCTATATCTGACCTGGCCAAAGCAGAGTAAAAACAAATGCAGCAAGAATGAGTAGGATGAGAGAACATTAGACTACATATTAATTGGACTATTAAATGTTAGTTATAAGAGTAAAGAGACTGCAGTAATATAAGGTAGGCAACATTGCTCTTAGGCTCTTGGAGAGGTGAATTGGCAGATGAATTCACTCATTAACAGATGAGACAGGGAGATAGCTAAGTGATAGATTAATATTGAGTGCTAGTATGGATTGAAAATGAAACCTAAACTCCATGAATGTAGTGTAACTTAATAAAGTAAGTGAGTGGCAACAGTTTTCAGATAGGAGCCAAATCTGCCTGTTTTTTCCTGTACATACGTTCTTGTGCACTGCAGGCATGCACTAAAGTGTGTGCTTGTATGTGGGATTATTTCAAGCCTTTTAATTTGTTTTAGTTTTTTTCCCTTTTTTTGAAGCATCTGCAAAAACCAGCATGCAGACATCTAGACACAGCACATAGGAATTCATGAGCAGGCGAACTTGGTGTGTAGTTTTATTACGACAGTGAGTTGATTGATTTCACAGTGTTATGGGTCCGGACAGAGAGCCATCTATTTCTGAAAAGTGCTTCTTTCTGCGGATCTGTGAGCAGATTTGATCTACGCAGGGCTTAGTTATACGTAGGGAAGGCTGTTCCTGGATCAGTGTAACGTGCAGCTTCAAAGGACACCCATATGAAGTAGACTCAACATGTTTACTTTTAAACTTTGCTACTGGCAAAAATGAAGTACAAACTCTACAGGTGCTTCCGTGTAGCTTACAGAAGGACTCTGTTAATTTAGATTTTTTTTGTTAAAAAAGCAGAGAAAATTCCGGAAATTCGGCTCCAGCAGAACCAGGTGTGAAAACAGCCGAACTTCATCATAAGGCTACATTGTGTGGACATAGCTGTGTGTTTGCTGAAGCCTTTGAAGAAGGACGAATCTATTATTATGCAGCAAATCTGCTGACGCACTCTTCTACCTCAGCCAAATTCACCTCACTGTACACACACGCCCTGGTTGCCTGTCCCTTAACCAGCTCAGGATTGCTGAAGTCCTTATCTCTTAAAAGGCTCATATTTTTT